CGCAGCCGTGGCGCTCCCTCGGGAAAGGCGTTTGCGAGGCCGTTTTCGGGCTGTTTGCGTGTCGGTTTATGGCAATCGGGAGCGTTATTCCCGGGCTCCCGAGCGGGCCGCTGGGGAGGGCACCGAAGCGGGAGGAAAATGGACTTTTTTTTTCTTTCTTTTTCTGTGGCGTGAAAGTGGCGCCGGCGGCAGGAGCGGCGCTGCCGTGTGGAGACCCGACGCGACCGACATGGGCATTTCTTTCTTTCCCTCAGTCTGACGGAGGGAGCAAATATCGAAATATCGAATGCAAAACGGTTTGGACTCTGATATTTGATTTTTTTTTTTTTAGTTTCAGGGGCTGCTTTCCGCTCTGCAATTAGATTGACACATGTACAACATCCTCAACCATTCAAGGGGTTCGCAGGGACACTCCAAAGGGATTTTTTTTTTCCTTTTTGGTTGGAAGATATTAAAGAGGTATCTGTTGTTTGGCAATTTTGCTAAGTCTGTCTTCATTACTTCAACATTGTGCATTTGCTAATTTGGAAGCCCCTTCCTATTGACAGCTCTGCTCCATACACCTGCAAGCAATTTGCAGAGCTCCAGTATAGGAGAATTGCAGAGATGGCAGCTCGCACCTATTTTATTTTTTTTCTTCGCTTTTCTCAATGCACAGCAAATTTGGCTTTCAGTGCGTTATCTCTTTTGTTAATGCAAAAAGATTCCCTGGGCGAAAAAATTGCTCATAATTACCAGAGAGATGGGGAAACTGCATTAGAATAAATAAACCTGAAATTACTGTAATTATGTTGTGTTTGATGGGCTCGGCTTGTAATCAAGAAGAGAATACAGTGAAATGATGCTGACCCTCTTGGGTTTGCAGCTGTACGCGCACTTTGGGGTCTTTTTTTTGCAGAAAAGAGTCATTTTGATCATCATTAAGCTGTGTGTAACCTATTTCAGAAGTGTTTGAAAATGAGGGACACTCTTTTTTTCCAGCAAAGAAAAAAAATATATCCCCAAATTACATTTTGCCAGTTACAGACTCATCCATAAGGTTGTGTTTACGGGGTGACAATTGTTAAAGGTATAATATTCGAAATCAGGACTTAATCATTGTAATGAGGTATTGTTTCAATATAAGCACCTTTGGATTATTCATAGTTTAATTAATATCCTCATTATGAAAATCTTCGAATCAGATATTTGATGAACTACTTGTCAGCAACAAGGCAGAATTAATTAGGCCTGTATCGAGATTAACATTTTCCAATGTACAATTATAATAGACTCTAACTCAAGACCGCCTCGTTGAGAGAAAACTAATAATTTCTCTATTGGAATTGTTAGCAAGACCTTATTGAATTAGCGGCGGCAAATGTACCTTGGAGCTCAGGGGGTGCTTGACCACAGCGTTGGCGGCCGGTTACAGCCCTGGGGCTCTGGCCGCGGGTGCGGGAGGCGCGCGCCCGCGGGACGCGCGGCTACGCGGGCAATTGGAGCCTGGGACCACGGGTTGGGAGCGCCCTGGATGCGCAGGGCCGTGCGGGGCAGCGGCCGGGGGTGCCGGGGGCGCGGGATG